TCAGAGAGGTGGAAGGGAGAGAGAGAGAAACATAAACGTGAGAGAGACACATCAATTGGTTGCCCCCTGACCGGGGCCAGGGATTGAGTCTGCAACTGAGGTGTGTGCCCTTGGCTGGAATCAAGCTCAGGACCTTTCAGCCTGCGAGCTGACACTCTAACCACTGAGCCAAATGGGCTAGGGCTTCATGCATTTTCTCACATCCAAAAAACGTTCACTAATTTTCATTGTAGCTGACAATTGGAAAAATGTGGATCAAGCCATTAGTTGAAATAAGCCTCAGGTAACTAAAAAGTTTTAGAATGTATTTGAGATTACAGCTAAAATAATCCTTTTCCCCTCTAACTTTATTCTGTTAGGTAGATTACATTTTTAGTTGATCTATATTTTTTTCTATCTTGGGAAGAAAATAAAACTATTGAATTATTCATTATTTCTCCGATTATCTTTCTTTTCATTGAGTTCTTTTTTTATGGACATGATAATTTATAACTTAATATAGTTTTTGAAATAATTTCCTATAATACATCATCTTTTTACATACAGAGTGGGGCAAATGTAGGTTTACAGTTGTGAGTATGCGAAACAGTTTATCCTTGTAGTATTATTTATTAATTATTCTGTGACTTTCCATACAAACAACTGTAAGCCTACTTTTGCCCCACCCTGTATTTTGACTGATCTGATAAATCCAAAGAGGCTTGCTGGTTTTATGGACATTTTATAGTTAAAAAGGTCTTAAAATCAAATAGGTTTTTAATACAGAGGAGAAATTTAGAATTGAAGAGTTATTCTTTTATTCCAAAAACACTTTTTGAGCATCTACAGTGTGTGAGGCACTGAGGATACAGTAGTGAACATGACACGTAACATTCCTGTCATTTTTCATTTTATTTTTGTCTTTGTTCATCCTGTTACTTCCCCCAAATATTCTCCATAGCACTAATTTCATTTTGTATTCTTTCTATATATTTTACTTGTTTTATGTAGAGTGTTTTTTTTATATGAATTAAAGTATGACCTCCGTGAAGGCAGGAGGATTTGTCTTTTTGGTCATTGCTGCATCTTCAGCTTGTAGTATGGTACATAGCATTCGGTAGGGACTCAGTCAATTTTTGTCAAATAAATGAGTGGATTGAATAAAATTAAGACCAGGAGAGTGTAGTATCTTGAAAGTCAAGTGAAGTTTTTAGAACAGAATGGTCAACTGTGTCAGATATTGCTGAAGGGTCAAACAACATAAAGACATGAAGATTAGATTTACCCATGTACAGCGGTGATGAATGGTTTCAATGAAGTGGTAGGACAAAAGCCATATTGGAGTAGATTCAAGAAAAAAGAATCTGCTAGTGAGGTAGTAGAAACTATATATATTTGAGATTTTGAGAAAGAAAGAAATTGATCTGTAACTGGTGAGATGGGTATGAGGTTAAGGAGGGCTTTAAAATGTTTTTCTTTTATTATGAAAATTTTAAACATACATAAAAGAAAATAGGACAGTGAACCCTTTATACCCTTCATATATAACAATATCAACATTTTGACATACCTATTTCATTTTCTCATTTTTGTTGTTACAGAAATATTTTGAAGCAAATCCCAATTATTTTAATCGTATATACTTCAGTTTGCATCTTTAAAAATAAATAAAAAGCAGCACTTATTAAAATTAACAGCAATTATTTGATACTACCTAATACCTAGTTCTAATCAGGTTGCCACAGTTATGTTTGCTTCCTCACAGTGGCATTAAATTTATTTCTCTGTTTTCAGTATTATCTGTAATGTAGTGTAAATATTTGGTTGGATTTAGGTTTAGCTTCTTTGGGACACAGTTTTTAATTGGTGCCCTGTGGTGACTGCCTAGTTTTTCCATTGAGAATTTCCTATTAACCTTTCATCTTACGATTTTTATGATCTTTGTCAAAATAGTTATTGTATTTGGTTTGCCAAAGGGTAATTTTCTAATCCTGTCTTAAGGAAAGGGGGGGGTCTTTAAAAATTGAAGAAATTATAACATATTTTCCTGCTGATGAGAATGATCTAATAGAAAAGTTATGATGTAAGAAGGAGCTCTAATACCTGTAGAAACAGTGGACTTGGTAGATAAGAGTGAGTGGGGTCTACTGCACAAATGAGTAGGAGCAGGAATAGTTTAAGTAACTCATCCAAGGCTACAGTAGCACAGAGTGAATATATCTTATTAAATTTCTATCTAAATTTTGCTGTGGAATCTGTTTGATATTTGTACCTAATTTTAGAAACATGTATTTTCATTGGATGATATTTTATGTGAAATCCAAACTTAAACCCATTTCAAGCTTCACTGCCTAATTTGACATTGGCCCCACTTGCTAGAATTTTTCTAATCTCTCTTAAAAGTGTAATTTTAAATTAATGGTGTCTTATACACTGTATCTTTACATTATAAAAAATGTGGGCAATACTTTTATATAACTGTTTTTCAGCCTTTGTTGCTAGTCTGTTGTAAGAGAAGCAAATGCTGCTGTTAAATAAAATGATAAATAACTGGCAGTTTAGTTTAGACACTAATGGAGCCTAAAAGCCTTTAAGATGACAAAAACAGCAACTTTTATGATTTATAGGCTCATTTTTGTTACACAGTTTGGTCATATACCTGACAGTCTTCCCTCTTTGTGACTTTTTCCTAAAAATTATAGTTTTGTGTTATCTGAGTGAAAAGGCCATTAGAGTTCAGTAGAATAATATGACAGCATCTCTTCTGAGGATTGTAACAATTCCCATTGGAGATGTACAATCTCCTTTTCCCCTCTTTTTTTGACATTTCTAATAGTAGTGATATAATTTAATCCTCAAATAGTATGTACTGCAACTTTGAACCTATAAACTCTTCAAATTGTCTCATACATGCAATGTGAACTTTAAACAATCATGTTCTTTATGGCTCAGTGATTTCCATTTACTACCTGTTAGTCTATGTAATTGGAAGAGTATTGGGGTTACTGTTGTCTAATATGATACACATTCTGTTAAATTTGAATTTTAAAGCAACGTGAATTGTATAATCTCTTTAGTTATATAGTGCTATTTTTTTATTTTTTTAAAAAATCCCTATTGAGGTTCTGTTGATTTCCTTTCTTATTTTGGCATACCCAGCACTCTGTAGTTGTCTCCAAAACCAGGAATGTAATCTGATCTATGGGTTGTTTTGTTTGCTGATTTAGATGAGAACACTTTGCATGAGCTACATTGATCAGTTCTCATCCTTTCTAGTCATTTATTGAACAATTAGTAGAACCTTGTAAAGACTCTCTACAGTAGTTCTATAAACTAGATCATTTTACCCAAGAACCACAAAGATACATCAAGATAGAAAAGGGTGAAAAAGGCTGATTAAGAGAAATAGGAAATATTAAGCCTTCGAACTCACATTATGGAAAGATTCTCTCCATCCTTACCAAATGAAAGATATGCACACTCTCTACTGAAATATTTTGTACAACTTAGGAAGTTTAGCTTTTCATAGATTTGAATCATCATTGTTTAAAACATGAAAATTTTATTTAGGTGTATTCATATAATAATTCTTTTATTTCTGCCTCTAATTTTGTGATCTAAATCTTTTTTCTAAAAGAATTATAATCTACTATCCTTTTACAGTTTAAAACTACTAGAAAAATGGTTTATGTGTCAATTAGTCCTTAAAACAATATAAGCTCCCTATGATATTTTTAATTGTAGTTTCATAACTTTGTCATTCACGGTGTACTTTAAAAATACATTATAGAGTGGCTTAGAATTTTGAAATTAGCACCAAAAGGAAATGTATTTGATGTAGGTAGGTATTGGAAGTTTTCATATTAGTTCAAAAACAAATATTTTATAAGTTTTAAAATACCATTTAAAAAAATTTTGATAACTGTTTAGTGAAAGAATATTTATTTCTGAGAAGTAAGTTTATCTGTCATGTTGAGATGCTGAAAAGAATACAGTTTAATACCAGTATGCTGCAGTGAAGCTAAGGTTAGTCTAAAAAACTAATCATTGACTTTTATTGCCTTAAGGTATTTTTGTAAGGTATAAAAAGGATTATAGGACTGTGTATTAGAGCCAACCAATTTTGTTTTAGTAATGTCTTGCATAGGTCTAAAATTTTATTCACTAGATATTGATATAAATACTAATTGTCTTTGTCAATTATTCATGAATTTCCAATTTCATAAACTTATTGTGATTTAACTGATAGTATTAAAATTACATAATCAATAAAGGCAGTGTGGATTTATTTATCCCATAAATATTTATTGTACATGTAGTGTGTCCAGGGACTGCTCTAGGCTTTGGGGAAACTACAGCACTGAACAAAACAGGCTAATGGGCTGTCGTCCAGAACCTTGCATTCTAGTGGTAAAGTAAAAATGTCGGGTGGTGGTGTTGCTACCTATGACCAAAAGGAGAGCAGGGTAAGTGAATAGGGGATGGCAGAAATTCTGAAGTTTAACTTCTTTCCAAGATTCTCTCTACCCACTGATCTAAACGTTCTTTTTACTGTAGACCTTCTGTGTGTGCCATTCATGTAGGTATTTCCATTGTTTTTCGTATCATACTGTCTTATAATTATCTGGCTTGATGTTTGTTTTTTGCTCTTAAGACTGCTTTTTGAAAGCTGGGTCCATAAAGACTCATTTGTGTGTTACCAGCTGTAACGCTAAGTCCTTTGATAAGTGCTTGTTATTTGTTACGACAAGGAATGAATGATACTCTCAGCACTTCTAAGGAGACCTGGCTCTGCTGGAATCCCACTGCTCTCTTTGAGACAATTAGGAAAGAATGAGTGAAAAATGGTAAAAAAGAGCATGTATGTATACATTCTGTTCGGTTCACTTGTAACATTTCTAATTAATTTAGAGTTCTACATTTTACATTCTTGGCATTGATACCTCATCCTTTTTTATAGCTTTATTGAAAAAAATAAAATAAGAAAGTTAGTTTTCTGAAAATTAATCTTTTATTCACAGGTACTACTGAACGAGTGTGCTTGATCCAGGGAACAGTTGAAGCACTGAATGCAGTTCATGGATTCATTGCAGAAAAAATTCGAGAAATGCCCCAAAATGTGGCCAAGACAGAACCAGTCAGCATTCTACAACCCCAGACCACCGTTAACCCAGATCGCATCAAACAAGTGAGTGTTTAGTTGGGCAATCAAAGAGAAATATTCACAGCATAGTGTGAATTCCTTATAAAAGAAGGCTTAAAAAGCATATAAATTTTTTTTTCTAAACATACTTACAATAAGAGTTATAATTTATTTATTTAAAGACTATTGGTCTCACATTGATCAGTTGATTTATTGATTCAATTATTCATTTATTAGTATTAACACTGAGAAGCACGTATGCAACTCATTTCTCTTGTGATTTATAGACTCAGATTTGATAATTTATGGGAATTTAATCTATTTAAAATTATATTTCTTGTTTAAATAAAGTATAAAAATTGAAATGAAACTATATCCTCAAAATTTCAAATACCATTTTTAGTATTATTTAGTCTTCAGTATAGTTATGATATTATGCATATATACTCCTGTTTTGTTAATTTGTCATGTTTAACATTTTTTATCAACAAATATGTATACTTTTGTGCCTAGCAAACAGTTACTTGTTACAAATCAGCTATTATGTTCTGTATAACTTGTGTAGTGTATATATGTATTTTTTTATATATGTGTGTGTGTGTGTATGTGTGTGTGTGTGTGTCATAAAGGGCCAATGTTCATTTTTAATGTGTGGAATATTCTGTAACAAAATTTTTACTTGATAAAAGACAATGTGAGCTTCTAAGAGTGAATAATGGCTGACATGATATAGGAGAAAAATGACCTTTTTTAATACTCAATAAGGTGGATTCTTCCCCATAAACTGTTTTTAATTCTCAGATTTACTTGATACTTTATAATTATTGTTTTTGCATTTGCCCTTTTATATTAACTACTTAATTTGTGAATTATAGACTTGCCTTCAAAGGGAATGTACTTTTCACTACTTCACAGAACATTTAATTTACAGAATATTTATGTTGACTGTAATAAATTTGAAATGTAGTTCAAAATCTTATTAATTTCATGTTTCTGAATTGAAAAAAATTTATACTAAACAGTCTTATGAATCTATTAAAATTTTACCAATATATAGGTAAATATAAGGCAACTAGCTGATCACATACAAATGTAGAAATTGTCAATTAGACAATATGTTTTCAAATTATAGGATAATATTCTGTTTTAGCTTACCACTTTGCAAAATCCTTCCATGTTTAAAGTATGAATAGGTAGTTATTATTACATATAAAAATCATTCATTTTATAAACTCTTTGTTAATGTCAAAATGGTTCGATTCGATTTGTATACCCTTCACAGTTTTTCAAGAAAGTATCTTTTAATCTATACATGGCAGAATTTAAATATTTTAAAGCTCCAAATATCAGAAGATTCTTTTATTCTTACAGCCATTTATAATTTTAGGATTTTTATTTTACTTATGCTAGGTAAATACAAAGAATATTTTTAAAACTAATGCTTTGAAAGTGATATCATAACTCTATCTAGGTTCTAAAACTATGAGTTTAGTTAAAGACCTCTGGATTAAAATCACCAGGGTCTAAGAATTTACAGAAGCACTGAAGTGTAGGGTCTATTGACTTTTGCCTTAATCCAGCCTAGTCTTCCTTTTCTTTTGTAACTTCTGTGAGCAAGTTCAAACATTGAGGGATGTGGTGAACATCTTAATTTTTGAAAAGTAAAACATAAAATGTAGTTTGAGTAGAATGATATCACTGGCAGTATATCATACAATGATATGAATGATTTTTTATTATTTTTATAATAATAGCACCATCAAATAATTGTCTCTGAATCATTGTTAAAATTCCAATTTTCTCTATGGCTGTATGAGTTTTATTAGCTACCATATTTCCAATGCCTATATAGATTTATGAAAATCAAAATTTAAAAATGTTTGCTTTATTTTTATTTGCCTTTTTCTGATACTAATATTTAAATTCAAGATAAGTGTTAAAAATAGAGATTGGTTTACCTTTGTGTATTTGCATTCATTGTAAGCCTTGTAGATATTCATGGAATTGAAATTATTGTTGATTATTTAATATTTTCAAGTAATTAATAATGTATGAACTAGAGTATCATTTAAAGAGATTTACCAGTAGAATACACTAAATCTAGTAGGGCAATATATTTAACACTTAAACATGTTTTCTAAATGTAAAAATTGAATAATTGAGAAAAATCTAGAAGAGATATTCAACATATTTTTACAATATTTTAGATGAACAGAGTTTTTCATGCTCTAAATTTAGGATTCTCTAACTTTCTAGGTACCCTAGTTTACCAATATAAGACTTATAATTGGATCATTCTCTAAATAGAATTCCAAGTATATAAATATAAATGACCATGATTTTATTTCAGAAGAAATTATGCTGGCTATTCAATATAAAATATTTATGTCTAAAATAAATTATTTTCCACTAAGAACATATTTCATATGATATATAGAAATAATCTCTGACTTAATACATAGAATCATAATAAAGTTTATTTTAGAATGGTCGTCTTTCTGTTAACTAATAATATAACATTTACATTTGCTTTGGGTTTCAGTACCCAAGTTAATTTTTAAAATAATTTCTTTGAAGCAGTTTTTAGAATTTTCTTCTAGTTAAGATTGTGCAAAGAATAAAATTAACATTTTTAAAATGCTGGAGCTAGAATATGTAACTTTTGCATAGAAATGAATTAATGTTGAATATAAATTATAGATTTTTAAAATATTTGTTATTATGTGTCCATTGTTTTTATGATTGATAATTTTAAGGTTTGGCTTGCTAAAAAATAATTTGTATGGTATCTATATATAAAAATAATTTATATGTAATAGGAAGTCAGAGTTCTAAATAATTAAAACTTGCTTTAAAAATTATAATTATGGATTTTTAACAAAACAGTATATTCTGAGTTATGCAATCTAGATACAGTTGGTCACCAAGTAAATTGCATGAATCACCTTATTCTGCCTAAATGAAACCTACTCTTATTGACTGAATCAATTCTCAAACCAGAATAGTTTTGTTTTGTTTTTTAGGAAAGTAGTGCATACTGGTCTTGTAAGTCTTTTTCCATTTCTATCTTTTTATGTTTTGAGCTTTATACTTTTTATTTTTTTCCCCGTGAGATTATTGAAACTTTTCCTCTTGTTTTAAGTTAAATGATGAAATCTAGCATGACAGCCTTACATCCAACTTCAGATATTAGATATTGTGAAATATTCAATTCTTAATTCTCAAATGTATTTTTGGGTTTTATTTAAAACATTTATTTGTTAATACAGAGGAATCCAATATTTTATATATTCAAAATAACAATAGCAATATTTATTGAATAATCAAAATATTATATAGCCTCTATTTTTTAACCTTAGTACCAGGAGAGAATCATGAGGTACATAATACCATTGTGCTTACTTTACAAGATAGTATACTAAGAAACAGATATGCAACAAGAGTCAGTAAACCAAAATTAAACATATTAATTAGCATGAAGCCTACTATTTCTTATTTTTAGGATACACAGTTAACTGAGACATTCATTAATATTCAAATAATTTTGACTTTGTTTGCCTAAAAACTCTGAACTCATTTCTGGAGCACTACTTAGCCCATATTATTAGGTATATATTTTTCCATTTCTACCTTTTTATATTTTGAGCTTTATACGTTTTACTTTTTTCCCCCATCGGGTTATTGAAACTTTTCCTCTTGTTGTAAGTGCCTCAAATCCCCCTCCAAGTATATCTGTTTATACATAATGAGTCAATATAATGAACCTCCCCAAAATAGTAGAAACCACAAATCAATATTACAGTTAGCATTTGTTGACTTCCTTTGTCTATTATAGATTTTCATCAGTTTCTTTCCTTTTTGGCTCAAAAGTATTTTTAAGAAAAGCTACATTAAGAAGTAGTTATAGGTATATAAAGAATTCTCCTATATTTAAAAAAATAAAATTAAGATGTCAAAAGTCTCATTTAGCTGAAATAATTTTACTTTCATCATGAAAAATTGGCAAAAATAGCCCAAAATTTGTTTGTTCATTACTCATTCAGTCATGAATTTATCAAATGCCACCTTAGTGAATTGTAAAATGTACTAAATTGTAGCCCTTGCTCTCTAAAACTAGTTTGTAAGAGATCACAAATGCTTAAAATAACTTATAAAAATGTAAAACTTTATTTATATACCAAAACTACAATATAAACAACATACTGTAAAGGTTCAGAGGAGTGTGAAAGAAATGTAGGCTAGTGACATTTGGTATAGTGTAAAATAGGTGAAGACTTGAATTAAATCTTGAAGATTGTATAGGAATTGCCTAATTATAGAAAGAAAAAAGCTTATCTTAGGCACATGAAATAGTGTGGATTTGAAAAGAAAGATACCATAAGTTTTGAATAGTAAGGAGGCTGCCTTGACAGAGGTGGAACATTTGTGCTGGAGTTTAGGGAAAATAACGTTAGGGAAGGTGGGACCAGATGATGGAGAGCCTTGGATGGCCGGCCGAGGCGCATTCTATAGACTGCGGATTCTTCCTAATGTTTCCCAAAAGAGCCCTTTTAATTTCTCTTGAAGGTTATGACAAAAAGGAGGTACCTCTGCATTTTGTTCTGTTCTGTGCTAAAAGTCCAGGCAGAATCTTAGGGTGCTTGTATCAGATACAGCTTGTGGGAGAAAAAGAGGAGTGTGACAGTTAGCTGAGTGTCCCACAATTGCAGATCTTTGGTTTTTGAAGGTTTGTAAGATAATAATTTTCCAAAGTTCTTTTATGTAACATTCACAAATCCAGGGGATGTCAAGCAAAAAAAAAAAAAGTGGTCAAGAATGAAGGATTGGTAAGAGTGATACGCACACAGACACAGACATATATGTAGTGCTTCCTGTGTTTCTGTGCCAGCCACTGTGCGTGCACTTCACATGGATTATCGCATTTCATCCATCCTCACAGAAATGCTGTGAGACAGGCACAGAGTCCCTGTTTTACTTAAGGACACTGATGCTTAGGGGAACTGAGTGACTTACCCAAGGACATATAATGTAATTGTATTAAAACT